GCGCCGGTTGCGGAGCCACGGTGCTCGGCTCGAGCCGGAGCGGAGCCGTGTGACTCGGGGTTCGCGCCGTGTTCAGCGGCGGCCGAAGTGTGAGTGCGGCGTAGCGGCTTGTGGTAGGACACGTAGTGTATACGTTTCATTGTGGGGGGGGGCAGGGGGGGGCCTATGCATGACAAGTGGGTCTGCAGGACACAGTCAGCCACTAGAGTAAAGACGGTGAATGCAGAAATAGTTCTAGCACTTCAACACAGAGGAATGTGCAAGGGGAGCCTGGTGAACATTTGGCAAACAACTCAGAGTTTCCAGCAAATTCACATAAATTCACAAAGCAATGCCAATCCTCTGTGAGTGCTAGGGCCTTCTCACCTTTAGCACATTCACTCAGCGGAGTTCAGCACTGAGTGATGCCCCATCCTCTGTGATCTCCTGGACGGGTCCACTGAGTGATTTCGCCCCCAAACTCTGAACGCTTTCCTCTTTCCAAAGGTCAACGAACATGGTCTATCCCAGACACTCCATGGGACTGCCATAGGACTGCCGATCAGTTGGGGTAAGGGGGTCAATTAATCGGCACTCCTATGGCAGTCCCATGGGTCGCATCTAAAATTATAGACCTTGTTTGTGGTGCCACGGCCATGCTATGGAGCTGTGGCCGCAGTGAGGAAAGCTGCTCACTGACCTGAAGGTGGTGCGATCAACGCATAGAAATGGAAGACCACGTGTGAGAAATGTGGCATGGCGTCTGGAAGGCCTACACCTGACCAAAGGCCTACCACTCCATCTGGTCAAATGTGAGAATTGTAGTCAAAGAATGCCAGAGATATTCAAGTTGAAACAGCATAATCTGAGTAATACTATACTCCTGGCCTTACTACTAGGAACAAGAAGCAAGCTACTAGGGGCTCCTGGCCTTACTACTAGGAACAAGAAGCTACTAGTAACAATATAACTATTTACAACCTCCCTCTGATACCGTCCCCAAGGCTTTTTCCGTGAGTCATCCATCCGTGCAAATGGACTGCATGATGCAGTGCTTGTCTGGTCTCTACTTCGAAGGTAGAATCCATGTCGTCACCATCATGTAACAGGTACCTCCAGAAAGAACAACAGTCTATAGCAACTGTGCGGAACAGAGAGGCATGTTCATCCAGTCTATGTCTGGAAGGTCTTAACCCACACCCTATTTGCGGCATGAGAGCAAGCAGGACAGTCGATATAGAAGCTCATGCAGTGTCTTCCCCATTATATCCGACTTCTTATGCAAGTCAGAGGTTGTCTGACGTGTTCTGGTCAAAACGCTGCTGCATGCAAATCACACTCGCCGAAAGACCTACCCCACCCGGAAAATGACACACATCACATGGCCTGTTTCCAGGGAGATGTCCAGGGAGATTTACCCTTTTTGGGGTTGCCTTTCATGTTGCTTTCACATGTGTCCCTAGTTCTTTCCTTCTTCTCCAAGCAACATGAATAGAGGGATTCACGGATTCACTGCAAGATTGACCTCCAAACCAGCTTGCCATGTTCATAAACATACACTGACATGCAAATCACATGTCATCGCACTTCCTACCGTGATGTCATGATGTCCTATACTAGCACCTTCCAACAGGTCACCACCTTCCGCATATAAAATGTCTGCAAAAGTCACCAAAGGAGACCTGTTGGAAGGTGACCTGGTATACCAGTGTGCTGTTTATACCAGTCTCCAGCACCTGGTATACCAGCACCATCCAACAGGTCTACTAGCACCTGTTGTATATAGATGTTCTTTCCACCTCAGAAAAAAACCGTTGGATTCTCCAACCGAATGGACCGGTGAAACATCGAATTGCACGGTGCCATGGGTACCAGAGCGTACGATGTGATCCTTGGGTCTACAAATGGCGGATGGCCTTGTCCAAAGCTAGACTGCAAGCAGGTACAAGTGGACTCTCGTTGTGGAAGACAAAAGGTCCTTTGCAGAGTGATGTTGGACGCTCCAATCTGCTATGATCCGACTTGGACATTCAGCCTGACAAACACCCCTCAACAAATCAAGCCTTAGCGGAACATAACATCTTTCAGACCACCAGTCCCGCACAAATGGCATTCATCGACCAACAATGGTATCCTAAAAATACTCTTGGAGTGACAAGCGATGCCAACGAAAATCCAGGATGCAGAAACTCCACAAGCAATGACCCTTCTCATGGTTACTTCCTGATACATGTGTAATGAACTCACTGGCCTCAATTCAATCGCTCTCCATCCCAACGGCGTAAACAACAAAATCACAAGAAATTCATCCGATTCGCACCCCTTCACTTCACATCCGAATGTTGTTCATCCAAGAGCTTCCGCAACCTCCTCACCTGGAGCAGGACGAGGAGGGTCGGCCGATGGCTGTCCATGATGTTCCAACAAAATGCCAGGGATGTTAACCCCTACCATGGTGGTTTGCTGTCTTTGATGGTAACTCGGTGGTCAAAATGCATATATGTTCACAAGTTCAAGTCCAAAAAGTCAAAGTCACAACAAAATCTACAAGTTCATAATACACTTTCTTTGTTTTCCTGGGGGTCTCTTTCGGTTTGGTATGTGTCGTACTGAAAACACCCGAATCGCCACCCCGTTCGAAGCGGACCCATCCGCCGCCCGCCCAAACGCCGGCCTCGTCCAAGTTGCTCGACACACTCAAGCGTTGCAGCATCGCCTCAGCTTCGATCCTGGCAGTGCTCTGTTGGCTCCGAACGCCACAAGCCCGGCGCGGGTGGCCGGCGCAGGTGGCGGTTTTGCGGGGCGTTGGAGGAAGATGGGGGGTGGGTATAGGTATATCACATGACCATGGGACCGGAGTACGATGGGTAGGATGATCGCATGCAAAAGCCTTTCCCTCAACGATGGTGACGTGCCATCCTTGCGCCAACTGATAAAATCATTGCAATTCTACATCATGGGACACACACCTTCGGTGGGTAGGTGATATAAAACCAACTTGACAAATCTTGGATGTACAAAGGGTGTGCTCAGTGCTCATTGTGAGCAAGCAGGTTGTGCATGAGCAAGTGGTGCGTTGAGTTTTCGGTCCACCCAGTCACTCAAACATAGGGATGGGGAGACTCCAATAACTCTAATTAGGGTTCTTCTATCATTATCACAGTTTGGAGGAGTTTGCGGCCATCAAAGCCATACCAAATCTTGTGTGTACAGGGTAGTTCTTCTTCGTGACGGCCTATGCAATAATGCATTATACAGTACATCATTCTTTCCTGGCTATCCCCATAGCACCTGGCTATCCCCAAAGCATCTGCTTTGCTTCCATTATACTGGTTCCCAGCCCTGTCTCCTCACCCCAGCCTGGACACGCTTTGGTCTCCAGCATAGGCGCGACCTGAGAAACTGAAACAAACATCAAACATAGGGCGAAAGAAGGGCTGCTGGGGCCAGTAAAAGGTGAATCTGTGTGGCTGTGACTGGCTGGGACTAGCTGTGGGTGTGTGATCTTCAGTCGTCTCCTTTCAAAGGGTCAAACCGCACACCAAGGAACCAAAGGAACCCTCAAATGCTGGGAGACCACCCGTTTTTTTTCAGGGCGCCGCCAACCAGCTCAACGATGTCACCACGACCAACCCAAGAAGATCCCCACTGAACATGTATTGGAAGCCGTGCCACTATCTATTTGGGGACCGCTATAGACGCTAGATGGAGACCTCCCAAGATTAGGGTGAAGATTGGTGCTGCACAGTTTTCCGGGCCTTGTCGGGTACTGTCCCCAAGGACCCACGGGAAGAATACCAAAACCATTGGTTTGTGGCCTAAATTGTACACAAATCTCTGCAAACGGTTTCGGCAAACCAAATTGGGGTTCGACGAGGATGCTTTGCGTGCTTGTTTGGCCAGTGTGGCTCTTCAGCAGTGATCACGTACGGAAACAATGAAGACTTCATGAAGGTCCAATCAGTTTCAAGCAAACTTCCCAGCGCCGGTATTCCAACAAAATATATAGTTTAAAGTTTAAAGTTAAATGCTAGAATTATCTAGAGTTCCTGGCATCCAAGCTGACAAAATCTGGAACAAAAGAGCAACAGTTCACCCACCAAATGTCCGCTGCCCAGATTCCATGCGAAGCTGCCTGCCTCCTATCTTCGTCTTTAACACTCAGGGCTCCCAACCCCATTTGGGCGCCGCAAGCAGCTGCGGTGTGAGGTTGCAGGGCGGCCCTGCCTGACACATGACATGCCTGTCGCATCCTACTTTTGCACCTCATCTAACGCTTGAGCAACGTCTGAAACCATCCGAACGTTAGTAAAATACTACATTGCTACATGCTACCTCTTCTGACACCTGACAAATTGCACGTGGCGAACATGTCCATGACAAACCGCATCATCTATAAATATATGAATATAGCTGCAGTTCAAACGAAATGGGCCACGTGCTGAGCATTCAGTGCATACAGCATACATGGACCGATTGAAGAATATGAGCTGACCCACTTCATGTGAAGACTCCTGGACCGCACAACCTATCCTCTTGAACTGGATCGTGGATAGCAAACAAATCCCAATGATGGCATGGTCACTGGCATGTTCATTGCTGTAATATGCCGTCCTTGTCTGGCAATCTGCTGGTCATATCTGCAGCCTCATCCCCTCAACAACTGACTGCATAAGTCTCAGTGAGACTCATAACCAAACCCATTCTTTGGGCCCATGCTCGGTTAAGTGATGTGAAAGTGTGTACCCTTCAACAATAATGGATTTTGAATGATTTTGATCACCTCGAGCGTCCGATGGGTGTTCCCATGCTATTCCAGTACGTGTTTCACCCGCAACACCCGCGGGCCTCAGCTTGGGGCTCTGGTGCCGTCGGTGCCGTCAGAACAGGTTTTGCCGCATCTTGGACAGCAGTTTGGCCCGCCAAGGGGGCGCCTGGCCAAAGGCATCCTAAAGGATGGATGGTCTGGTTCAATTTGAACTTCTCAGCTCTCTGTGTTTGGGTTGAAAAATGAACATGTAGGATGCTTCTTCAGTTCAGCTTACAAAACACTCAAACCCCGGATCGCTTCTCTCAACGAGTGGATGACCGGATGGGGCATCGCGCCAGTTTTGCGACTCGCGGGGACGGAGCGCTGCTGTTCTGGTCACAGCACTGCGCTGCTTGACGAAGGCAGATGGTCCAACACAGCAAATCAGAATTGGGTGTCTATCCAAAGATAGAAGCAAACAATTTCTGAACATTCCCTTGGTGCCGTTTTTTTTGCATGTTGTAGTCACCTTTCGGTAAACATTCAACATGATTGCTGGCTCGGGTGCCACCAAGCTGTGTGCAAAGCTACGTTCATTTGGAAAAGCAAAGGGTCTGCATTCATGGTGCAAAGGTTCTTCAAAGAATCATCAAACTACAGTAGCTGAGGAAGGTGGATTGATCACAAGATCTTGCCTCATTCATCCTCAGGATAGTCACATGTCTGCACTGACATTCTCAGTGGGCTGGTGAATGGGAGTTCTTCCGTGTTGGGAGAGTCCCGGCTCAGAGCTGGCACATCTTCACGGGCTGCCACTGGAGGGTCTTCATGAGCACCCTGACCGTCAGCTGCCACGCTTTGAGCATCTGAGACTGCGTGGAAAGGAAGATCGACCGCTGATTTCTCGTCTCCATGACCCAACTGCTCCACCAGCTCTTCCCCTTCACACCCTTCACAGGCGAGGTCACCAGCTTCTTCTCCAAGATCACCATCACCTGCTTCCGAAACCTCTGGCATCTTGGCTGAACATCTCGCCCCACCCAGTCCTTCTGCCAGCTCCAGACCTTCACCCTCGTGCCCACCACGAGTGCGACCGGGCACACCCTCCACGCCACCGGGCACGTCGACCGGGCCGTACACATCGAGGATCATCGACTCGGCGGACTCCAGGACCTTTCCGGAGACCAGCTTCACCGCGCGGTACCTGGCGAATCGAGAGTCGATACGAGACGGTTTGGAAGGATGGGATGGGATGGGATGGGTTGGTTTTTTATTTTTTCCGGTGGAAGGAACAAAAAGGACGAAACCATTTGGAAGTGACTAAGTAGCTTTACTTCTGTCGTCCCTGATGTGCAAGATATAGTAGAGCCGATAGATATACCATAGTATAGCTATATATGTCGACATGTACCGCACATGCCGATCTATGCTGCTGCTTAGTCCGAGCTCGAAGGAAGCATGGACATGTTGGAAGCACGTGCATGTGCAAAGCTTCACGTGCTCCAAGTTTAAGGTCATTCCCAAACACTCCATGTATGCCATACATGCCGCCCCATTGACCCCTCAATCCACCCCAATGCAGGTAAATATGACATACATGGAGTGTCTGGGGTATAGTCAGTGGATTGTGATTGGCAGTAAGTGGCAAAATCCTCAAGGTCGGTGGTTTATATGATTTATATGAACCCCTTGTAAGAAACATCTTGAGGTGCCAGTGCCATCTACTTCTTGAAACTGTATCGTTAAGCGGTATAAAACGAGGCCAACAAAAAACGTTGAGTGGATAAGTTTCAGCAACTCCTTTCAGCAATACGCGTCCTGCAGGGCGCCAATCTAGTGGCTGAAGGTCAAGCCAGGTGCGCTTGGATTGTTGGGTCACTGAAATTTGAAGGTGCAAATCCAAACAAGTAAAAGCATAAGTAAACGATTCAAACAACAAATAGTTATATATATATATATACAGTATGTGTAAGCGATTAAAAAATATATACTGTAGTACAGACTTTAAATAAACATATTACACCTATGCCCTCCACTGTGAAATAATCAGTCAGCAATCTGTGGAAGTGCTTTGTGATCCATCTCGAGAAAACGACGATTCTCCCAAGTGGATCATGTTCACATGAGGACGTCCCATGTGGAAACCAAACTCATCCAGCCTAGTACTCCTGAGCTGACCTTCTCATTAAACAGTTGTTGATCATTTGTAGATGCATCCACCTAAAGCAATACTGATACAACACCTCGAGATTACTTGTTATTCCAGGTTTCTCCAGGTTTGCAATCTGGAGGCGCAAATATATATATATATATAATGCCTATAATTACAAAGCATTCCATGCGTGCGTCTAATCTATGTAATATCTATGATTGTGCATGCACAACTATATATCTATATGCCAAGAAAGCACCATTCCCACGGCCAAACACCATTCAGGCCAGCGACAAGGAGCAAAAAACACGGATCAATCCAGCCAGGATCATCAGGCCGCTAATGAGCGGCAAGGGGTTGTTCTCGTTGCCCGCGGCATGGGAGAGGAAGAAGCCCAGGGAGTGACATCCACTGAGGCCGACCATCCTCAGATTTACAAGGGGTTGAGGCAACTGGAGGGAATGAGGAGGGAATGGTGGAAACTCGCTTTTAGTCATGAAGGATCTTGTAGATTCCTAGAATCAAGGTTGATTGGAAGGTTTGGCATAAGCAAGTTCCTCTATAAGACAACATGCAAAAACCATTGGCGAAATTCACCAGCAATCCCAAGCAGCATTAAACCATTGGCCAAATGGATGAATGGAACGCCACCGATCGTCCAAGTGTTCATCCTAGCAAGTGAATAGTTAATAAGGAAATCGAAGTGGTAGGACTTCACATCAAACTCATTCTGTGGGTCATCAAGTGTTCAACACATTCTTGGCCCCAGGTATGGATGCCAAAACGCGATTTCCATGCAATCCCTATGGCCTAATTACCCTCCGTCCTCTCCATGACCTGCACCAGCTGTTCCTTGTCTGCCTAGTGGAGGCGCGGACGGCCGCGGACTGCCACTTCAAGAGGCTTCGGACCAGTCTGGTGTCAAGAACAAACAAGTCAGTTCTTGAAGGAAGAATTCTGACCGTTCACCCCATGAACGGAACATCATCAAAACATAAACCATCAATAACCATCATATTGGTGCGAGGTGAATTGACGTGAACTCTCACCCAACATGATCCGCCTGAACCTTATGCAACTTCTGAAACGCACTCCTTTTCCAGCAGCACTTCGCCCTCCACCGAGCTGACCCAACTGGCGCATACTCGCGCGCAGGGAAAACGCGTCTCGCACGTCGCGGAGCGGAAGGCCTCCTCCAGGCCCGTGACGTTCGTGAGCTGCTCCATGAGGCTTTCGGAGAAGAGCTGCCGCGACTCGGGCGTGGAGCCGTTCTGCAGCCAGTCCATGAAGAGGCAAATGTACGCACACAGGAGCACCTGTAGTAGAAGTGCCGTTTGCTCTAAGAGCAAGAATGACAAGGAGGAAAGGGATTGAAGAACATGTTGTACATTTGGTGCCATTCTCTCTTTGTCAAGACAAGATAGACAAGGTTGACCTTAATAAAGCCTATATATATATATATTACCTTCAATCAGAGTGTTGGTCGCAATGAGGCCACTCCAATTTGCCAGGAACGCACCCTGCTAGATCACCAACAAACTGAATGCATGAGGACATCAACCCCCAGAATCCAGAAGCTGAACAGTGACGAATCCAAACATCTGGAGCCACTGACAGTGTAGCAAACATTCACCTCAAAAATGCTTCTGGAGCCTCCTTGAGCCCAAGGACTGCTCCATGGCGGATTAGCTCACGCTCGCTGGTCTGCAAAGCCCAACAAAGCTTACGTAAGCCTGTGCTCAAAGAACATAGTTCCACAATGGAGAGAGGACATACCTGCCTTTGAAGGCAGGTCCCTCCTTCACTGGATTCCCTAAAAACACCATGCTAGCATATGCTAGCTATATCCAGCAAAACTGCCAGCAGAAAACAATTTTTGCCCAGGCGCCACGAGACCAAAGACCAGCAAGGTCACGGTGTGCAGCACTAGGGCGGATCTGAGAATGTTTGCATAGAAGGCGCGTTGCACGGAATACACATACCTGGCAGCACGCGCGCCAACCGCCACAGCCACCCGACCGGTTGAGGTCGTTCATGAAGGTAAGTGTTGAGTGAGCGATGACATGGAGAAACACACCAGACGTCGGAGTTGGAAGTGACACAAAGCAAAACATGAATCTGAAGTCGGAAGTCAATCTCGCCGAGGACGCTGTTATATTTGGAACAACTGATTCCTCGTAAGTTCCACTGGAGAACCAGTGGTGAAGTGAAACTTTCACCGAGGTGAACAATCAACTTTCACTGAGGTGGCAGTTCAGTTCTTTTCCTTTCAGAAGTTGACCTCTACCTGACTCGTCACACATCACGGTCACCAGCCACAACCGGAACCTTCTAACGGAAAGCCCAACGGGGCACCGTAAAAAAACAAAGGAACGGCAGTCTGGATGTCACCCCATGGATACGAACAAAACACACGGGGGTCTAACCAAAAATGGTCATTAAAGAGAAATTGGAGCCAGGACTCGCGCGCCCTTTTTCAATCAAAAAACATGATACGATAATTATATGATTAGCAGGCATGTTTGAGGTTTAACAAAACACTTGGCGTGGACCAGCGTTCTTCGACCGTCCCATGTCTTGATCGGTTAGGAAAGAACAGGTCTCGGTCTCATCACCCAAGCATTCGACCCCACTGGTTGACAATCACTCATGTTGAAAAGGGAATACCTGGCCAACCAAAAACTTGCACCGCTGCTGAACGTCTGCATTCTAACCTGCCATCCACGATTGTTGATGCCAGGGCATCGAATTCCGACCGCAGCCTAGATGTAGCCGTTGAATAGCCCTATAAAGACGTTCAGCTACGGGTTTTGGGTGTGTTCTTGTGACAGGTCTCTTGTGTTCACCAAATATGTGCGTTCTGGATCGTTCTGGCAGGTTGAGCATCGGCAAAAACCATATGAGAAACCCTGTTTCCGGCGTCCAACGACAAAAGAACGTCAAGCTGCTGGCACTGGTCGCATCGGAAGGAGGATTGTGGATTGGCACTTGAGGCTCGCCACATGTTCAAACAATCCATGTGGACATAGCGCATGCTGCCGGAACACAAGCATGGAGAGATGAGTCCTTGGTCTGGCGCCAGGCCAATGTTCGGGAATATTGTTTTGAAAACAAAGGGGAAAACCCCACTGCCACGGTCTGCGCAGTGCAGTCACACATGGATACTCCATCCATAAGAGCCAGATTGGAGCTGAAATGATATATTAACATCGGCACCACCCCTGGTGCAAAACAAGGGTCTTTTTCATGGTGTTAAGGGCTCATCGTAATTACACACCATTTACACACTTTCATTGTGCCCTGATTCTCCGGGAGTCCAGGTCTCATGAACCCAAAGACTCCTCGGCGCAAACTTGAAACATCCCCAAGCCGCAAGGATCGCCCACCCGGTCGCACCGGACACGCGGCGACTCCGTGCGACATGTCAGAACCGGTGCCGGCCATGAGATCCCATCGAAACATGTCTTTCGCATGACGTGGTTTCATCGGTCATTGGAAGGATTCGCAGGATTCCGAATCATGCGACCGCATTGGGCGCATTGGGGGAAACCATGAGGTTCCTGACTGCTTGACCTGCATCTGGTGTATCCCTTCACTGGATTCACTTCGATCCCTCTGCCCATCCACTCCACCGAGGGGCGCCCGCTCTCGCTGCCTCCGAAGCAAATCCGACACGTCGGTGCCTCGGAGGCCTCCTGCCCCTCGGCGCGCTGCGGGTGCAGGCGTGGAGGAGCCTTACGCTGCTGGGCCGCCAGGAAACGCAGCCGATTCACCAGGTAGCTGCTCCAAAGCAGCCAAACGTAGAAGATGAACTCCCTGTTGAGCTCCTGAGTGGAAGGGCGCTTTCTTTTGGTGTGTTTTTTTTTCTGGAGTCAAGCACGTTGTTTTTTTATGACCAAGTTCTGCAAACAAACAGTGCTGTCGGACTTGGCTAGGTCATAGCATCGTTCCGATCGTTGTGCAATTTGATACTCAAGACTCAAAGCGGCCATGGTCGGGAGCTCTCCTCCAAGATCTCCAAGGAAGCATGCTTTTTGAAGCCCTACAAAAGCCTTGTGAGCCTTCCAATGGATGACAACACACTCTGACAATTGTATTCAGTTAACTCAGTTCCCCGAGGAAAGGAATGGCTCAACGGTAAGGTGAGGAGTCCGATCAATTGAAGATGTTTTAACAAGTGGTTTGTGCACAACTGCGGCGACAAGCTGCAAAAAACGCGGTTGCTGAAAGTGGCTGAGAAACCTGTTTGGGGGTGGAAGCATGAAGAACCATGAATCAAAAAGTGGAAGAGTAGGGTGACAGCATGTGAAAAATTCGGCAGGTACGTTCAGAGAGCGTCCTCTCCGAATGTCACAGTCTCAAACCACCGTCTTCGTTGGGCAGTGGATGGAATGAGACTCACTGCCCCCCTGCCGGCGAAACTGTGGTTGAAATGTTGGTGGTGAACCCTTGACCCAGGGGTTGACACACACAGATCGCCGTGACCGGCCCCTGCTGGAATCAAACAAGGAAAATTCTTATGTACAGAGTGTGATACACACTCCGCCGCTTTGCGGCTCTCTGGCATAAAACGTAAGATAGTCACCTAAAGAGCCTTAGAAACAAAAGAAAGGAAAGACAGAAAGAGCAGCGCTAAGAGGGCAAGAAAAAAAGATAGGTGGAGAAAAAAGGTGAATACTTAGCCCTTGACTGGGGTAGGGAAACGAGCCTGAAGAGCAACCCAAAAAGCCTGAGAGAAAGCCCAACAAACGACGGAAAGCGCAAGAAGAAAAGTGGGGGGGCAGGGAGGGGATGTATGTTCATGTGTGTGTACATGTGTGTGTCTGACTACCTAGCACTCTAGAGTTATTGATTACTTAGCCGAAGATAATTAAGTGCAGTAGTTAGGGAGCGGGACTTTAGTCTTAGACCGCCCGGGTAGAGAAGACTAGAACAGGAACAACACAGGGAAAGGCACCGACACACAAGTGTGTCGAGTACCATTTCCCTATGTTGCCCTAATTAGGTGGGGAGTAGAACTCGGCTGGGGGGAGGGTTGGGGAACCTGCCTGGCTGCGAGTGGAGTACCGTTTTAAAGCCCGGCGGCTATGGAGTCCCGTGTTTAGGCCCGGCGGCCGTGGTGGCAGTTAATTCGGTGGATGTGGAGGCGACTTCCAGTGGAGTTCCTGTGAAAGGTGGTGAGGTCAGTTAATGCTTGCACGATGAGACAGCGCCCCAATGACGGGGATCACACTCAGCACCCGAGTGGGACGGCTGAGCGAAACACACTCTGACAATTGTATTCAGTTAACTCAGTTCCCCGAGGAAAGGAATGGCTGAACGGTAAGGTGAGGAGTCCGATCAATTGAAGATGTTTTAAGAAGTGGTTTGTGCACAACTGCGGCGACAAGCTGCAAACAACGCGGTTGCTGAAAGTGGCTGAGAAACCTGTTTGGGGGTGGAAGCATGAAGAACCATGAATCAAAAAGTGGAAGAGTAGGGTGACAGCGTGTGAAAAATTCGGCAGGTACGTTCAGAGAGCGTCCTCTCCGAATGTCACAGTCTCAAACCACCGTCTTCGTTGGGCAGTGGATGGAATGAGACTCACTGCCCCCCTGCCGGCGAAACTGTGGTTGAAATGTTGGTGGTGAACCCTTGGCCCAGGGGTTGACACACACACACACACACACGACCACAAAGCCGAACCAAAAGGGTGGCATCATCTGAAACCCATGTTGGATCATATTGGGAAAGAAACCCCTTAAGGCGCCTCTTTCTCCACCTGGCCATCTCCCACAGGAGTTACTCCGAGCGTCTAGGTCTATGACCTCTTCGAGGTACGAGGGCAGAAGGTCGCCATCGCCCCACATGTGCCAAACGATCTCCTGCGCCCGCCATCACAGACCCCATTCTTGGTTGGGCAGGTGCCATCCAAATCCATCCAACCTCCCCGGGTGCGTTGACCGCATGAGGCACGTGGTCCAATCACATCCTTTTGTCAAGCATTTTTCAAACAAAAAATACAAAAAAGAACCACAGGTCCAAGTCCAGCTGCTACGTTGGGCCGAGACTTTACGGTGGACGGGTCTGGGGAGGCTGGGCCAGTGAGGCCCTGGGGACTTGGGAACTGAATCTGGATCCTCAGGTCTCTTCGGTCATCTTCGGTCGAACTGGGAACTGCTCTTTTGAAAAGCAGCTTGGAACTGATCAATGGTTGACACGGCCATCCAAGCTTTTGTTCTTGGCAAATCGCCGCAAATTCCAGCTAACATCGCCAACCATCCCAACATACATGGTTCAACGGTGCCTTTTGTTTATCGATCAAATCAGCCAAACTTGTCCACCATCAGCTATTCCAGAATCCCCGGTCTCCAGCATCGAGTGTAGGACCATGAAGGGCATCCCTGTGTAGATTGCCACAACCAAGCTGCGCCCGATGGAGGGCACGGGGGCGTCCACGTGCCGCAGGAAAGCATAAGCGAAGTAGCCCAATGGCCAATAGAAAAGCAATACCTGAGATCATCCACATGGTAGACTCCCTGGTCTGCCCTGGGCAGCGTATTTTTCTGCTTCGGAGCCGCAGCAGCTGTTGATACAAGAATTCCCTAACCTTGCCACTCACACAGGGGTTTGCCCATGTTCCAACATCATCTGCCTCAGCCCATGCAATGTTTCACCACCCACTTTTTGCAATTGTGCAGGACTCTTTTTGGGAAGTGCTGGCAGAAACACCACTGCAAGGTGAGGCTGCTTGTGGAACACCTTCCAGCCAACACGGCGGGCTATAGAGATCCAAAGATTTCTGAGTTTGTCCCATCATCTATATCATCTGTTTGATGCTCTCTGATCATCTCTGATCCTAGTGCGTACAGTATACAACATATTATGCGATGTTCAAAACATCTAGCATGCATTCTGCAGGCAATTGCTGGATCGAATTCATCCATTCCAGATCTTTATATAAGTCATTACACCCAACCTCCTGGCCCCAGTGAGAGATCCAAGTTGCAAGGCTGCCTTGGGTGATGAAACTCGCCAAAATGCAAGCCATCCATCCAAGCAACATGCCCAAAGGTAGCACCAGCTTCCAACGAAGCGCCCAAAAAAGGCTTGGCCACTGCTGCTCCCAGTCTCCAATCTGTGCCTCGGAGACGAAAAAGTAACCGTTACTTGGACACACGCGCACACATATACACACACGTGCGCGCACAAACACATGTTTGGTTCATTTTTGGGGGTTCAATTTCGCTCAATCTCTCCCTCTCTCTCTGTCTTGTATTTGTTTCTGCACCTCTGCACTCTCGGCCAGCCCATGCTGACGCCGGACGCGACGCCGTTTGTGTCTTGCCACGTCTTAGCCGAGAGTCTTGGGCTTCCTGCCTAGAACACAGCAGGGAGTTGCCATGCTTTCGGCAATAGAGGCCTGCAGTGTCAGTCTGACCAATGGTGGCGTTCGTTGGTTCGTCTGGCTTCGGCTAGAGTCTAGAGGCTGCATATGGCATAACGAGAGCCATAATAGTTATCCCCTATCCATCTGAGGTGTTGTATCGCTGGTTGCGATTCCAATAAATGGTTCCAACATAGCTGAGCTCCCTGTCTAATTATACATAATCTGGAATTGCTATGGCAATGTCGCCGAAACAAAGTCTATCAGCCGGTCACTGCAGGATCTCGAGGAAGGGTCCCACTGCACCACTGCACCACTGCAACAACCGATGCTTTTTGTCTTGCGTGTCTGTTGCCAACATGCTTCAGGTAGGGGCCCTACCTATGCAAGTAAGAGTACTTCAGTCGAGAAGGAGGGTGAAAGGCACAAAGATTGGACCGGCAGGTGTCCCCACAAATCGGATGCGACCAGCTCTGGCTCGCTGAACGTCCTGGTTAGCTCCTAGGTGGGTCCTGCTAGGTCCTGGTTAGGTCCTGGGTGGGTGGACCGCCTGTCATGCACTGCAGCGGCTCATAGAGGCGGAGCTCCTTCTTGCTATAGCTTCGCCAAAGCTGCTGTCCTGAGGACCTCCGGTGCGACCAGTACCTGGGAGGGTTGATCGGTGGGGCCCTGGGTGGATCAAGGGAACGACCTGCGCCCCTCCCCTGTTGAGCGGAGGGAGGGGGGGAGTGAAATTTGGGGTTTTGGTCAACATCTTGGATTACAAAAAGGCATCAACATGCTTTGTGGCTTAGGGGCAGCACCTGCCACAGCGCAGTGGTTGCTGGACATGAGCGGCCTGGTGATTCCTTCTATGGTTTATCATTTGGAGTGGCCTGACTCAGGGATTGCAGGAAAGTGCTGACTGTGGTCTGCGGATGACATTCTGGATGAATACCTGTTTTCTTGGAGGCTGCACTGGGCCGATGAGGGAATAACCCAACGGCAACAAATCAGAAAGCTGAATATCCGAGGGCCAACATCAAAATGCAGCACATGTATAAACCAAAATAACACAACATATCACAAAATAGCACTCCAGGATGCTGATTGTGGTGAAACGAGAAGCCTTCCAAAATGGCAAAGCTCCTTTGCCGAGACGTGGCTGCTTCGTTAGAAGACCGAGGTCGATGCGCCGAAGTTCAACTGCTCAGGAAAGTTATCACATGTAGAACCTGATGATGCTTCTCCATCAACTAATATCTCTCTCTCTCTCTCTCGCTCTGTCGTCTTCTGGCAACTAACGGATGCGACATTGTTTACACCGGATTGTTAATGTATTATATTAATATTACTAATATATGGTAGCAATCCCCTAATCCTCTCCTTGTGTCCAACTCGCTGTCCCCCAAACCATATGCATGTCCATGTTGGATTCTATGTGGCCTCCCATAACATACGCCTTCCATCCCTCACCGTAATGTCCAGGTCTCCCTGCAACAACCTCTGCAACATTCTGCAACCATGTTCAACACCTTGCCGCCAGCTGGTGCCCCTGCCTCAACATCTCACCAAAAAGGATTTGTAGAAGAACGGTCCACCCCGTGCCCAGCTCCCCAAAGGGAACCCACGGTGAGCCACATGTGTAGTGTCATGTCACGATCTCCTGCTGCCCAAGGCCAGAATGGCCTTGCTCGCCTGGAGCTCTTCCAGGGAAGGGGCCTCTTCCAGGTCGATCAACAAGCGACTCGTGCGCCGCAGCGCCGTGGGCAGCACCGAGCAAACACAAGCGGCCAGGGGTTCTGTGCCATTGCAGGCGGGCAGCTCCTGGATCAAATGGAAGACACAATGTTCGTCTTGTCAGGTTGCTGGTTGATCTGGTGAAGATTTCCCACTCCGCGTAAGTGGACGCATATGTCGCCAAGCCCTGTTGGGATCCCTAATCAAGAAAACTATACCCCAAACACTCCATGACACTCCAATGGAATGTATGCCTAAATTGACCCGATGGCACTGAGTGTTCCAAGCTTATAGTATATGGTAGTATCTGAATCTTATTGTATGGCCATGTTTGATCCTGTTTGGTCCACCATGTGGAATCTCCGGCCTCGGCGTTGTCGGAGCTTCCACCCACATAGACCTGCATATAGGGGGCGAGACGAAACCGATCCAAGTGCCTTGGTGATTTCGGAAGACCCAAAGGCCCTCAGCCTGGTACGTGAGGGAATGGGCTTTGACTGGAGATGCATTTCAGGATCCAGAAAACCTCATTCCGAAACCGAGCCCCTCCAGCAAGTCAAAATGATGTGTGTTCTCGCATAAGTCAGCTCCAGTCTTGAGTTCAACCAATTGAGCACTCCTTGGATGGTCCAGGGACCATCGATTCGTGTGATTTGCTGAAACTCATGACCTGGCTTGGAAAGCCGCAAATGATTTGGCAGCTACTCTCCAGACGCAACAGGTGACCATCAGCAGGCCTGGAGTTTTCAATGTAAGGTCCACCGGTGCATTAACAGTAACATTAAAATGATTCATGCAGAAAACCATCTATTCCACCTGTTCAAACGGCCATGCTTGCATCTTGAACTCTCTGGGAAAAGCCAAGCCCAGGCAGGTTCAAACGTCAGCTGGAATCAATGACGGCACTCTCCCCAGTTTCGACCGTGAAAGTTCCAGTGCTCTCACCTGGTACTTGTACTGTGCCAGCATCGTTGATGGCTGCACACCACGCACCGTGGCTGGCAGCCAGGTTCCCATGAGCGGCTGTGGCAATAGGGGCCCTGGGCGGCCCAATGGGCTTAGGATGGCTTATATAGGTAAAGGAACATGGGACAATGACAAAGCTCTAGTTGGCAGCAGGCAGGCTTGCGGGGCCAACATGCGATGTTCTGTAAGTATCTGCATTATACGAACTGATCTCAATCCGACCACCTAGATGGCAAGGAAACCTTTCTTGAGGTAAACCAAATAAGCACGTCCAAACACCCTAAAGCTTGAGTGGTCAGGATTGTCTACAAAGCATGGCAGCGGCATATCAATTTAGTTTGTTTGACACACTGGACCAGGATGAAAGGGTCTAGGCTCAATCTCACTCAAAGTATCACCCAAGGATCGGGAACCTCACGTGTTGCTGTGGCCCAAGCTCCAATCCTTGCACATCCGTTTGATATACTTTTCCACCCCAGGATTGGGACAAGCCGTTGGGCCACCCATTCCTTGTTGCAACACCCCTGTGATCCAGGAAGGGCTGATCTGGCTGACATAGGGCGAATCCATGCAAGTGCGTAGGCTTGAAAGGATGAATCTCTGAATCCTGCCTGGTCCTAGCCTCATTATATTGTGAGGTCCCAGCCTCTCCTGGGGGGTAGGACCTTTTCCAGATTCCTTCTACGATTAATTATCGCGTTTTTTTCCACTCGTTTTCTCCGGTTCGTTGGGCTGGCGGGACAAAAGTGGAGACTTGTGGAGCTGAGGGTCGGAATCTCCATCCCATGGTCCCAAAGAATGGCTCTCCGATGACCGGCCATGGCCATCCACGTATCCATGTATTTGTCGGAGTTGGGTCCCCAAAACGGAGATCGGAGATTATAAATCTTCCCCCTTTGGAGTGAAACACCTCTTCATATGGGGAGCTTAATACATCAATGAGTCTATACACCTTGAAAATCCATTAAATTCCTTAAAAAAAAAAAAAAAAAACAACATCCGTGGTTCAATCCATTTTGGCAGGGTGATGGTTGGTGTGTTGAGGGTTGCGAACGAAGGAGTATGGTACTTGGAGGTCTCTGGACGTCGGACGGTCCTTGGACCAGGTGTCTGGGTGCTCCACAAGCCACCAAATCCTGGTCCAATAGGACTTCGACAGGCTCATCCAGCTCGAACTGCAGCACTTGGGAGTTGAAGCTGGGAACTTGAAGCTGACCAGTTCTGGACCAGTAGAAATAGGCCACCAGCATTTTCCCCAGGTTTCGCAAGTCCTCGGGCTGTTTCATTGGTTTAGTGTTCGAAAGTGCGTGGACCCCAAGAAGACACATTTTGCATCCCGTGTTCTCTTGCACAATTTCCGATTCCACTAGCAGCTCATTAAAAACAAACTCCAACAATGCCCCCGCTTCCCACTTCCCCAAAAACACTCCGCTCTAGCTCGCTCCCAAGTCTCTGGGCTGCCGAAGTCTAATGAGAGCAAGGTCCAGGACAAAGAGCCACCACAGAGGTCGAAGAGGCTTAAGCTTGGTAGCTCCAAAGAAAGGCGAGGCTCATGAGACGAGGACAGGGAGCCACCACTGAGAACTCCATTGGTCAGATTCAACTCCTCGGTCGTACTTGTGCGGCCCAGGGGTGTTTGGGTGAACAAAGTTCCAGGTGGTGTTGATCAAAAGCTCCCTCCTCATCAAGTTCTCTTGCCCAGTTGAGGTGGTGGATGGTAGCAGCAACGTTACTGAGCATCCAGGGTGGACCCACATGAACTGCACCCAGCAAACAGTGAAAGGTGGTGGGGAGAAGCAACCAACATCAATGGATTTGAGTCGATGGTTGACTCTCGCAAATCTTTTCAGACACTGGACAACACACTGCTACTGGATCACACCCTTTTGGATGCGCAAAGAAAAGAAGAATCACCTGGTCAGCATCCTCATTCAAACATCCTGGAGACGTTCTCCCCTAGAATCCCTAGATACCCATGATTCCAAGTGACCAGGCCCTCAGGGAAGGCATCCACCAGATCTGCCGGGAGCTCGTGCAATGTGGCAACCAGTAGCAGCTCGGGCCACAAACGCAGCGCCACCAGCAGAAACTGAAAGCCTCACACGGCTGCGGGGCTGAGAGATGCTGGAGATGATCTGCCTGAATCCAGCACTCGATTCGCAAGTTCCCACCCTTTGGCCAGTCCCTGGCCACGCATCGCCGTGCTTCCCCCAAAGGGTTTTCCCCCAACTCGCCCGTCGCACGGCCCGCGCCCGCGCCGTCGCTGGCGGCCGAGGGGCTGCCTAGAAGGGCTATCGACACGGCGAAGTAGCGACCTGGGCGCCGCCGACGTCCCGAGCGGTCTGGGTGGATGGGGACGTCGGGTGGACGGGAGCGTCAGAAAAGAAACCGCCTGGCACTGCGAGTGAGGAAAAGTGATTATGGTCGGTCTTTAGACACCAGACTATATCCTTGTTATGCATGTCATAGAAATATGGAACATGGGAAAAAGGTGACGTGCCTTCTTTGTGGGACTGACATGGCAGAACTGCAAAGGTAAGGTTGCAAGGGGAATCTTCAGTTTTTTGAGAACGACCTAGCATTCAAATGAAATCAAAGATTGTTCGAACATGGTCCAGGCACAAGCATCTCTGGATCCTTTCTCCAGAAGCTTCAGGCTGTGAAAGGAAGAGGGTCTAAGGTACATCGCGCCATACGTCACCAGCAACGCTCCAAAGATCCCGGCGGCGCCCAGCAGCAGAATGGCCACCCGCCACTCCGCAGAGGTCGGCGTTTGCTGCAGCAAGAAGCTGCCAAAGCCAACGCCAATGGCCCAGCGGGACGAAATGGCCCAGCGGGACGCCAGCATCCGAACTAGACCATCGAAAAAGGTGAAACCGGGGAAATGAGGCCGAAGGAAGTGGGATGAAGGTGGGATGAAACTGTGACTCTGCAACTCTCGGCTGAATGTGAGGTGAATAGCGTTCAGAACGCCGAAAAGGTCTTCGTTGTAATTATTTGGACATAGCATAATAGCTTGACCATGCTTAAGCCATCCAACTAACTACCCTCTGCTTGTGCGAGTGCATGTAGGAAGACACATACTGCCTCCGTCTTGGATTCCCAAAGGCAATACACTAAATGCTTTGTGTTTTTAGTTTTCCTTGAGTTGTTTTTGTTTGTTCACTCGCCTCTTTTCATCACAGGATATATCACAATCTTTGCACGTGAGTTGCTCTGGGCAAATGGCAGTAACGGTCGCCGTCCGATTGCTGGAACCGTGTGACCTACTTCCATTCGGCAGAGCAATGCAACACAAACCGCTGACCCAAGGCTTGTACAATGCACTGATCACCCTGCACACACACAAAACTCACGTAAATCCATAATGTGGAGCGAGCACTTCTGGATACAGAGTTTCCATGTCTCTTTAGCTTTGTCTTCAAGTCTTTTGACCTCAACATATTCCACAACAGGTGTGAACCAAAGCAACCGGAAGTTGGCCACACTAAGAAACTGATGTACCTCCCGCCTGCATGCAGCTTGGGTCGCTTTTGATTTCAGTCCGTGGCCGTGGCCTTGTGATTCCCTCTACATTCCAAGGATTTTCTATGATTCTCTCATATTCTTCAACCAAAGGAAGCCCCCATAGATCCCTCATCGTCTTTCAGTAGCGCACCCCAGTGTGCGCTTCGGTAGCACCCTGCCCGAGGTTGGGAGGGCATGGAGTAAACATCATCCTACGCCTAAACGAAAAAGCATAGAGGGCCTAGGGGCCAAAGTTTGTTACCTAGTAACCTAGTACAAATATAATGAACACAAATTGAACAAATAAATAGGATATATGGTACCACACAATCTTCAATCCGTGCAATTCATTGTAGGGGGATTGGATTTAATCAGGCGAACGCAAGAATGGACTTATAGGGAATTACTTGCTCAATTGTCCGTGTCCGTGTCCTTTCCACTGACATCCTCCCCATCTCACTTCGCTGCAGGGCGCCTGAAATCTCCGGCTGCCTGTCAGCCGGAAGATCAACGCCCGACGTGGCGGAGGACGCACCCGTCGTTGGGCAAAATGTGACATCTCTGGCCACTGTGCCAGACTTGATGTTGGCTTTACGGCGGGTGAGGTCAAGCAATGCGCGGCTTTGACTTCGCTTCAAACCCTTCAGATTCAAACGCGTGCAATATAGCATATGCATATAGAAAGGTGATCCCTTCGTTTCAGTCCCACTATCAATGAATCAATAATGCTGTTCTTATGTCATCATTGATGTCATTTCTATGCTCCAACATCTGCGGGATGTGAATGCTGACGACTCACATTATACATTCAGCCTGACCGGAGAATCTTTTTGGGGTTGGCTCTCAAACTCGATGTCTTGCAGCCTCTTTTGGGGGGTCAACCTGGAGAGTCTGGAAAAACAGAAACAGAATGGACGTCCGTCGAGTATGGGTTCGATGTGTAATTGATGTACCCGCCCCCCCCGCACCTCACACTTGCCCCAAACCAGTCGATTTCCAGGCTGTCACAGGCTTTGGTCATGTGGATCAGGGTAGACCAATCAATCTCTGCCACAGCCCAATTCCAAAAAACATACAAGATTTAAAGCATCATCATGTGTCTTTAATGCAAACCAGACCCTGTTCGGCCACATTCTTGAAATTTCTTGACACATGGCCCAGCATCGGAAGAGCTTGGTACCCACAAACCGGGATAACAGTCACAGTCCGTGGCTGCCTGAGCTGCTCAGGAGTGCCCTCACCGCCCTGGCGACGAGCTCGTCACAGGTGAACTCTTTTGGTGCTGTGGGTGGAGGAATCTTCAATCCGATTGAAGATCTTGAAGGCCTTCTTTCTTTTTATCTCAAGCACTCCAACATCCAACTCCAACTTGTTTGTTTGCAATGGCTCACATGGAGAAGAAATGGACCTGGAGATTCTCCGCTTCTGCCACTGGGAAACATGTCCGAACTAGTCCGAACCACTTTGACACCCATGGAGAGCAATTTCAATAGCAATTTCCAATTGTCCGCCACCCATCACCACCACCCCGAAACCTTCCTTCCTTCTTTCCTCACTTCGCGAGCGAATTCATGGCAGCCCGCCTGGACCGTGGCCACCTCCGTCGTCGACTCCACCGACTCCGCCGTGTCCGGTGTCGCGACGTGAGGCGGACCCCGCGGACCCCTGCCAGGTCCGGGGCGCGTTCGGCCCCCCGCGCAGGGGGGGGGGGGGGGGGGGCCTGGATGGGGAATTGTCCAACATCAAAGGAGCCTCCTTAAGGGGTGCCCTGTCTGGAAGCCTAGGCAGGTAGTGTGGGGTAGTTCGGACGCCCTGACAGGAGGGTCCTGGGGTTGTGTTTGTTCATATATGAGTTCTGAGGGTGTACGTCAAGATTTGAGATTGGAGTGAAGTTCTCATGGTTCTCTCTGGGGTTTGGAGGATCAATTGACAAGGAACAGGGGCAAGTGTTGTTTCTGTGAGGGATTGCAAAGCTAGTAGATTATTATCATTAAACCTTTCACGCTAGGCTACCGGACATTGATACCATTGGTAAATTGGTTGCCAGTTATTCACATTGGTATGGCTCAACAAAAGCATGAGGGTTCATACCAAGCATGACCAAAATTCAATGGTCAAAATTGCCAAAGTAAAAACACACAAGCATCTCTGGATCTAGCTCCTTGGAATATCCTTAGACTACTTTGTCCGTTTGATCTTGTGGCGCTCCACACCTTGTGGCGCTCCACACCTAACGCCGGCCTGGTGGCCGGTGGAGTGCCATCGGCCTGGCGGCAGTGTGTTGGTTCCAGAAGAGAGTAATGCACCTGTCACTTGGAAGAGGAAGAGAGGGTGTCATCTCCATCCAAGTTCCACCGCCATCCAAGTTCCATAAAATTGGAAGAACTTCCTTTTGGAACTCTGCCGGCTCATGCGAGCTATGCCTTTTGGAATCGGACCCCTTGGGTGGTGACGACTGCCAAGCTAGGCCGGTCTTCTGGAATCCGTCAAACATCAAACGCCGTTCTCGAAGAAACGGCACACAGCGGAGCATCTCGAACGGCCACAACAGTGGGCACTGAAGCATGATTTCCTCATATTTCCTATAGAAGCAAAGTGACCTATCTCTCATGGGCTTCACATGGCACCAACACAGGTTGAAAAAACCCTACTTCGACTCTCCCAGTTGGGTACCCCAGATCGCTGCGGGTCCCGATGGTCCCTTTCCCCCGGTTCGTTCCGCCGCCGGATCTCGCCGACTCGCCTTCCTGACCTTCGGAGGGTCCAGCCAGCATCGACCTGCCGAGGTGGTGTCCATGCCGAGGGGTGAAGGTGTCCTCGGACTCCGGTTTCTGAATCTTTCTGAGAGAGTTTGGAGGATTGGGCGCAGGCTGGTGATGGTTTAAATTGAGATGTCCATGTCAGAGGAAAGGGAAAAAAGAACGAACAGGTGATGACTGGTGAGGTATGGACGTACTACGGTTTAATAACAACGTTTTCGCGAGTCCACGAGACAAAGTGAGAGTTGCAAAATGGAACGTCGACTTCTAACGCTGTCTGTGAGGATCCTCCGTGTCTGTGAGGATCCGAAGAACTGACATCGTGTCAAGAGTAGGGAATGGGAGCAGGCTGTCGGATGTGGCCCAAAGCGACCGAAGCCTATTATCTACTGTAACAATGTAGACTCTTGATTGATATACCCACCTCATTTGGATTGAAAAACATCGATAGTGATTAATTAAGAGTCTCCGTTATGGGATCAAAAGGGCATGAAAGGAACACTTACTTCTAAATCCCAAACAACACAAATAACAAATTTAGAATTGACTCTGTGGCTCGATCAATCGTGTGAGTCACCGGCGGTGGTTACCTCCTTCGGACAAGTACTTATATAGTATATAAGTACTTCGAGGCCGAAACCCACGAGCTCCAATATAACAAGTCAACTTTTCAACCTCCAAAGCCTCCAATCCCTGCGACTCACATTCTGAGTCGTCCGACTGCAGGTCCCCCGAAGAAAAACCAAAAAACGAAACAACAACACATCCGGCCTTTCTCAACACCTTTGGTCAGTCGATCCAAAATGACCTATGCGCGACACGTCGCACGGGCGCCACTCGTCGTTGAGCGAGGCCGGTGGTCGCATGAAACGATGGCCCCTTTCAGTTGAAGACCTCTTCTTGAGGACGCACTGAATTGTCAAAACCTTATACAGAATCCCGGTTGTAGGGAATTTGGAACGGTGCAACTCATAAATACCTGCCTGAAAATCAGGCGACGACCCCAATAAAAATACCTGGGCTTTTAGAGCCTCAGCAACAATGGCACGGACCGAAATGGTGGATCCGCCCCTCCCCCTTCAAACCCGCACGAACCTGGGGGGATGGAAGCAATGCCTCCAAACTAAGAGCAATGGCCTCCAACCTAGTAGCAAAAGGAATCTAATAGCGATGACCTCCAAGCTAGAAGCGATGGCCTCCAACCTAAAAGCGATGGCCTCCAACCTGACAGCTCCAATGGATCCGATTTCGGATGACAATTTTCCACTACAAACCAGGTGGTGCCATCCACCTCCCAGGAAGTAGTTTTCGGATTGTAGGCCTGGAAAGCAAAGAGATCGACCCCCAAAAAACCAGCTCAGTGGCCTGTGGTGACAAAGCCACCAGGTCGTTCCAATTTGCCGGCAGGGCTGGGCTTGGCTCGGAGCCTGGGCGGTGGGAGGTCGTCAGGGATGGGCTTGTCTCACATGAGGAACCCCCTCTTCTCGCCTCCATACATTGGCTCATCCGTTAACGATACTCATGCAAACCGGAAATTTGTTGAATCAATTGCACTTTGGACATCTCATTCATCCGAATTACTACCAAGCTGAATTGCTCCGTGGGTGCCTACGGGCAGCTTGCCAAGGGCAAGAAG